ACCCCTCCCCTCCGGCGGGGCTGGAGTAACGGCCCCTACGGGAAGCCACGTAGCTTAGAAAGCCCTTTTCAGGGCCACCCCACTCCCCCAGGAAGCCCGGCCCAACAGACCCCCATCCCCGAGGAAACACCCCGCGCGCCTTTGCGGCTTTTCTCAGGCGGATCAGCCCGCCGCCCCGCAGCCGGCTCTTCGCGGAAGTAGCGCTGCCTGCTCGGATGCGTCTTTGCGCACAACAAAGTTACTGCTCCTGCCGCGTTAGAGGTGAGCCTGTCTCGAGAGCTCGAGGTTCGCCTTCACCAGTATGTCAGCAGCACTCAGCTTCCCTTTCTCCCGCAGGTATTTCATTAGTTGGGGCCGCTGCCTCCAGGTAACCTTTACGCCATACTCATGCTCGGGAGTATCTGCAACCAGTATTGCTGCCGACTCCCCTCTCCCACAGGGATCAATACCGAATGCCAGCTCTTCTTCTGGATGCCAGGCATGGCTACTTGTTTGTAGCAGATTGCTGCTGCATCTCCAGTTCCTGGCGGAAAGCACCTGCGGAATCTCTACATCTGGTGGATTAAAGACTTCCAGCTCCCCAGCCTGTGGAGCTGGTATCAAAGGCATTTCTCTACAGTTTTCTGGACTGTTCACCTGGATGTTGGCTTTTGCTGCCATCCCTTTCTTGGGCTGGCTGTGAGAGCACTGAGTGTTCTTCCTCAAGTGGTTCAGATGATCTGAGGGGTGGGCTGGATATACTTCCGGATTCTCAAAAGTTAAAGGAGGAAATTTGCAGGCTACAGCTCTTCGACAAGCTCCTCCTGCATGAAGGGAACTGTGGTTGACATAGTGATCCTGGGGTTTGTGAGGACCACAATGCTTCTGGCATGCTTTCGACACCACTGGCTTAGTTGTTTCAAATTGTGGGCACACCTGAAGGAAAAGACATAGTAATAAGAAAAAAACAACAATTTTTCTCCAGACAAAGGAATGCCAACCTGATTCTATTCCCCCAGCTATCCCATCTTTTTTCAGTGTGTTCATTAAGTGGGTAATCTGGTCTGCAGCAAAGCAAATTGGTCAGTAACCAAGCTGCTAAGCAGGAGATACCTCTGAACTTCAACATCATGTGCTCCCACTCTTCTCTGAAAAGTGACTGGGATGTAAGTGAGCTATTCTCTGGCGACTTAAAAAGCACTCAAGATTTCTGTTTTAAAGAAAAGTCTTAACTGTTTGGTGTCCACTCCTCTAACACCTGCAGATTTAAAACAGTTCAGACCTGGGTCCTGTTTCTTTCTGTGTCTTAGCATAACTCTGAACAGAGTCAGGAAACTGCATCCTCAGTCTCCCCGAACACATTGAACTCAAGAGCAATACAAGATGATTTAAAGGATGCCCACTTAGCTCCGTCACCTTAAATTATGTTAATAAGGCTTTCAGAATATTCCCCCAAAACACCTTTACTTCAAGACACAGTTAATCTCTGTATCCTGGAGTAACAGATCACCCAAAAGCCACTTCTAAAATTGGCTTTCTATAGAAGATGGTCAAAGCTCAACAATCCATATTTCTTTGAAAGATTCTGGACCCTTACTCAGAAGCTGGAAATCCTTCTATCACAGTGTTCTTTGTCTTCCTGGGTATCAACAAAAAGAGTCAGGTTCCATTGCTTGCAATTTGCTTTTCCCTAGAGCACACCAAACTGGGTTCTAGCTATGATAACTACAGATCCCTTTCAGCATTCCTAAGTTACTACATAGTCCCTCAAAAATCTAAGTTCAATTTAATTAAGGATAGCAATTGTCTGCTGTACAACTGAATTGTTTGAATGCAAAGCCTTTGTTCAGGAAGAGAGAGAAATGATTCCCTGATAATTGTATCCTACCACATACTTAAAAGAACATAGGTGAACCACTGACTTTGAGGATATGACTTTCTGGCTTCAGAGAACATACAGGGTAGGCTTTACCAGTGCAAGAGCAAAGCAGACAAGAGGGCATGAAAAACTTAGATGATATCAAGAAGAGAGGAGCAGTAAAATCAGTTGCCACTGAACAAGTTGACAGGAACTCTGCAGACAATGCTTTATAAAGTTACAAAACTACCAGGATTTTCTAGTGGAAAAATATCTAACAGTTTCAGTGCTGATACCTTCAAACAAATTTTAGAATCATTGTAGCTTTGGAATCAAAGAGCTAAGTACCAGCATGGATATTTCCACCTCTTCCAAATAAAAAGAATGCTGATTCACAGGAGTTATTTTACTTAGTGTTTCACAAGCCATAGAGCTAACTGCCTCAAGCATATTAAAAAAAAAAAAAAAAAAGGAAAAAATTAAACATACTCTACTTCAAGGTTAAGGCATCACAAAAATAACTCCAGGTCACCCAGAACAAAGGAAGGTTTCATGCAGGTTTGAAACCACGCTTCCTGAGCCTGCTTTGTGAAGAGCAGAGAGTCAAGCAGCAATAACACTTAAACAGAGCTTCCCTAGGTGGCAACTGCCATTGTATAGGAACAGTCTGTCTTTGCAGCACCTGTTTGCTTAAAAAAGAGAAGAAAAGAAAAAAAAAAATCTTTACATTACATGATATAAGGAGTATCTTAGGACACTGCAAACAGTCCTTGGAATATTTTTTTCAGGCCAGAATAGGAGCCCATTGGAAAAATGATATGGAGAAAAACTATTCAAAACACACAGAATGGAAAAGAGGGCAGGTTAGAACAGATAATCCTGAAGTGAAAACCTATATTGTCCAAATTTAGCAGTGTCAGATTTAAACAACACACCTAGTACTTTAACAGGTAACATTTAGAGTTGAGCAGTTATTTCAAGTAGCAAGCTAATACAAAAGTTGCCCCTAATGTTTATTATGTGCAGGGTTTTCAGTTGCCATAGAAACCAGCATTTTTCTGATGAGAATTAGTTTTTCAGGAGACAAAATAATCAGTACGCACTGAACACAGTTTTATGCCTTCAAATAACCAAGACCTTAGTGGCTGTAGTTAGAACGTGAAGCAAATCAAAAGCACTTGTTTATGCTTTAGGCAGGTACAATGAATTCAGGTCTGCCCTACTCATTTTCAGTATCCAGTACGGATAGCTTTCTGTTGAGACATACAGGAGAAGCTTGAAAACCGTTGCTGTGGGACACAGGGGGAAGAATAATCTATACCAACCCAGGCAGCAGAGGTGTTCTGGTCCACAGGTTTTGTAGGAACATGTCTTGGATTCTCGGCCGAAAGTAGGGGAGTTTCATAGCAACTGACGGGTCCCTCTCGCGGCCTCTCAAGGAATACCAGCTCTGCCTTCCTGGCCTTGTGGGTACATTTCTTCTTCGGAGGCATCAAAAGATGTGGTAAAACGACTTAGAAGCCTCATGATGCTTGCTAGAGCCAACTGGAGAAAGAGGAAAGCACCCCAAGGAGATGCTAAAATGCTCTCAGATCTGTAGGAGGCAAATAAATGGTCTTGAAGACAAACTTGCTTGGAAACCTCAGATCTGTTTTTTTAACCAAAGTAAAACATTTATGCAACAGTACAGCATACGCATCTCTATGCAGACTTTTCCCTACCAGTAGCTTTTGAACCTTCTGTGAAGTTTCAGATAGATTTAGAAATGCACAGCAGAAGAGATAAATGCTCCAAAGGGTCATTAAAGCTGATAGCCAAATACATCAGGGGAGAGACGCAAACAAACAAGTGTCCCAGCTGCAAAAGGAATTCTGAACTTGCCTTTGGGCAAGACTCAACATTACTGGAAAAATGAGTTTCTTATGAAAATGCATATTTCAAATACACAAGACAGGCAAACGCATATAGGTATTCTTCTTCATAAAAATATTTTAGAAGTAATTTGAAAGACATCCATCTATGACAAGGCCTGACTAAAATGCTGACATACAGAACCCACTGTATTTACAATAGGCTTGCTCACTGAAATTTTAAGGAAATGCAAACCACTGGGAGAAGAGAAAAAAAATGGAATGGGAGTAGCTGATCTACTGAACCAGCTATGTTAAGTCAACTATCAAAAAAATTTAAAGAATTTCTTCACATTAGCTCAATATGTAGCCTACTCACAGACAAGGGACTTAATTTCAAATAAAATTTAATTCCAGTTTAGGAATTAAAAGTCAGGAAAACTTTTCTTTTTTCAAATTAATCCATAAAACTGGTATGTAGTGCCAAGATATATTGTAGGGCTGAGATAACCAGAAGCCTTTCCATTTCTAGATGCTAACTACTTATACTTTTTGATTTCAGGAATTTTAAAGTTTTTAAATAGAGAGCAAACTTGACATTTCCGTGCTGTAGATATCCTGCATGATTTTTTTTTTTACCCAGTGAATAAGTTTTAATTGAAATGACATTGAATTTAACTTTCCATTCAAAAACAGACTAGCACAGTCGGGGAATTTTGAAGAGAACGTTTTCCAAGAAATGCCTTCTCTCTACCAAATATAAGTAAGACTGCGACAGCCAGACTGCTTACCAAACGTCCAGCCTCCTCAGGAGCCCTGCGAGCCCCCCTCGCCAGGCACAGCCCTGACACCCGTTAAACGGTGAAACTCCGGATCTCTTCACGAGGGATCGCCCGAGGCCTGCGACCTGCGACCGGCGCCACGGCTAGCTGGCTGGCTGGCTGGCCGCCCG